TCCTTCCTTCCTTCTCTAAAGCTGATTCTTGGAGATCTGGTGGGGACCTCCCTGTGCCAAGGGCCCCTGACGCCCAGGCAGTGCACTGACATCTGTCCCTTTAGGGAGCAGGGGCCGCGGGGTCGCTCTGCGGCTGCCCCGGGTGGGCGGCCCTTTCCCTTTCTCCCTAAGAATCTGCCGTTGGTGACTGGTTCTCTGGACGGAGGACCCGCCCTGTGGGTGAGTCTTCCTCCCTGCAGACTCCTGGGCTGAGATCCTGTCCCCGGCCTTGGACCCCCTTGGACCCCCACGGAGACACCCGAGTGTCCTGGGCCTCTGCCCACTCCCCTGCGGGAAGTCCAGCTGATGAATGGGGCCCAACACACAGGAAGATGAAACCACTGTCACATCATCGTGCGTGGTCTCCCATCCCCCCCTTCTCTCTAAACATCTGGCACTTGTCATCTTTTCACTTAAATGACACACTTGGACGTCTCTCTGGTGTGAATGAGCGGCCCGCACCGACACTAAGGTCTCTGAGCACAGCCTCCTGATGCTGACAGTTGGACTGATGGCCAAGGGACTGCCGGGCAGGTAGCATATACCCGGCGGATCCTCTGGACAGAGGGTGGGATGGGGGGAAGCTCAGATTTCGTCATGCCACCCAACAGCTCTCAGCAGCCTATGAATGACTTGTTTCTGGAAGCTTCTGCTTAATATTTGAGGTGGTATTTGACCCCAGGGAACTGAACCCGGGAAAATCAAAACTGCACTCGGGGGGCTGCGAATATGTCCATCCCGCAGCACCCGGAGCCCAGGGCCGCTCCATCTTCAAAGCTTTCCTTGTTTCGAGGCAGGGGTTCTCTTTTTTCTTCCTTCCTTTTTTTTTGGGGGGGGACGGGGGTACCAGGGACTGAACCAGGGGCCCTCGACCACTGAGCCGCACCCCAGCCCTATTTTGTATTTTATTTAGAGACAGGTCTCACTGAGCTGCTTAGGCCCTTGTCGTCTGAGGCTGCCTCTGAGCTCCCGAACCTCCTGCCTCAGCCTCCGGAGCAGCTGGGTCTGCAGCATCCCTGGGCCCGGGTGACCTCCGGCCTCCGCCATTCAACCGCCAAACGCCAGCCCTATTGCTGCTGAGTCCCCTTCCCACGTCTCTTCAAATGGGCTTCGGTTTCCCCGTCACAAGTTACCTCAAGTCCTCGCTAACGTGACGATGACGAGGCCTGCGCCGTCTTGGTGTCTGCTGCGTCCCTGTGCCAGGCGCAGCTGGACCTGCGGAAGGCGCTGGTGCCGGGGTGTGGGGCTGGCTCCTGGGCCGCAGACGGCGTCGCCTTCCTCCTCAGCGGCACGGTGATGCCACAGGACACTTTGGCCACCTGGGAGTGTGGGTAGGGGTCGCTGGCCAAAATGGCCTGGTCCCCTGCTGTCACCTGCTGTCACCTGGTCAGGGTGGGACAGAGAGGGGACGGAGGGGAGAGTCCCCCAGGCCATCTGGTCCGTTTCCTCCATGACAGTTGGGGAAACCTGGGCCACACGGGGCACACCCCTGCCGCAAAGAAATGCTAAAAATGGCGAGGGATGGTGACCGGGCTGGACACGGTGGCCTGTCATCCCAGGGGCTCAGGAGGCTGAGGCAGGAGGATCACAAGGTCAAAGCCAGCTTGGGCACCTGGGGGAGGCGCTGCGCCAGGCAGCAGAGCCGTGTCCACACGCGCCCAGTGGGCTGCCCCTGGGGCTAAGCGCCCGGCACCAAAAGGAAAGAAACGTGTGGTGCTGGTGACCGGGGGGTGACTTTGGGCTGGGACTTGGGATCTACCGAGCAGGCGGACGGCCGCCCACTCTCCAGGCCCCCGAACAGCGGCCACGCCAGCCCGGGCAGGGCAGGAGGGTCGCGGTCATTTCCTGCGCAGGCGCGGCCCCGCCTCCGTCACCTCCTAGCCATCGCGTGTCTTCCCCGTCCGTGCGACTGTCCCCTCTCCTCGGGTCTTGGTTTCTGAGGTTTCACTTGTGCCAGGCCAGCGGAGGTCCTCGGTGCCACAGGCCGACCCATGCACTTCCCGCGACAGGGCTGTCCTCGCTGTCCTCCCGCGGCCCGGCACAGCAGGCACCTCCCCAGGGCAGGGCTCCGCTGGGGCGCGAGGGCGCTGCTCGCCCGTTCTGCAGGGAGGAAAGCTGAGGTGGCCCCTGTCCCCACGGCCTCAGCAGGCAGAGTGGACATGGGCGTGGGCATGGGCACCCGGATGCAGAGGGGGAAACCGAGGCACCTGGGGAGGACACGGCCCAGGGCGCCCGCTGGGCCCTCCGCGCCCTGCCCCCCAGCCTAGCCCCCGCCCCCAAGCCCCCAACTCTGAGCCCGGGGCTTGGCTGGCAGGTGACACACCCTGCGGGCTGATGCGCGATGCTGGTCTTCAGCCCTGGCCGTAGCTCTGGTAGAACAGCGAGGGCCACAGGGAGGCAGGTCCTGGCACACGCGTGTGCACACACGCACGCATGCACACGCACGCAACGCTCACACGCGCACACACGCACATGCACACACGCACGTATGCACACCCACACACACGCACGCACACCCAGCACACAAACGTGTGCTTCACAGACAGGCGCACACTCACAGTCAGCACACGCACCAACGCCCTTGCACACACACCTGCCGCAGGAGCCCCGAGGCCCGGCTCCCCCTCCTGCAGAACCATTTAAACGGTTACAAAGACGCTATTTTTATCTGGAGGCAAATTCAATTATAGACGTTGACCTTTAAGTCTTCCCAGCTCACGTGTGGCTGGGCCAGGGTGCGACAGGCTCGCCCACGTTCCTGGAGGAGAGGCGTCCTCAAGCCAGGCCCTGGGGGGCGCCGGGCAGGCCCGGCCCCGGGCGGAGGCCAAGCCCGGACCGGACCCAGCGTGGCCCGTGGCCCTCAGAGCCTCAGCAAGTGCCGCTCCAGAGTGGAGGCCAGCGAGCCAGGGAGAGGCCGCCCGGCCGTGGCTCGGCTGTGGGGCGCTCTGACTGCGCTGGCCTGGGCGTGGCCTCTGCTGACCGTCGCCTGCTCTTTCCCACACAAGTTTCCCTGGCGACAGGGGCTGAGTGCGCAGCAGGCGCGGCCCTTGGAGACCGCATCTTCCGCAGAAGCCGACTGTGCGGCGGACTCTGTTTTAGGTGCTGGGGGGCAATCCCGGACAAGGAACAAGCTGTTTTCGAGAGCTGCCGATGTGTGTTTAAAAGGTACCCGAGTAGGACCTGCGCCCGGAGCTACCGAGCCGTGGAGAAGGGCGAGGCCGGGGCCGGGGTGGCTGGTAGGCCCGGAGCAGCACCTTCAAGTGGAGACAGAGGAGGGAGGCAGAGGGCACAGCCGTGAAAAGGCCCTGGGGCAGGACCCAGCCCAGCGTGGTGTTGGAGCAGAGCAGCCCGGGTGGCTGGAGCAGAGTGGGGGACGGGACTGGGCAGGTCCCTCAGGGCCTTGTGAGCTGTGGAGAGGACTTGAGGTGGGAGCCCTGGGGGCTGTGGGCAGGGGAGGCCCAGCACCTGACAGTGGCTCACAGGCGCCCCCCGGTGGCTGCTGCAGGGAGGACAGGCCGCGGGGCCCCCGGGAGCCATGGGCAGGAAGGCAGCTCTGGTAGGTGGTGCAGGCAGAGGACCCTGGGGTGCCAGGAGGAGGGACTCGAGGCTCCTGGCCTCAGCGCCCTGAAGGTGGGGGTCCTGTCGGCTGACCCGGAGGAGGGGCAGCAGGGGTCAGCTGGGGAGGGGCGGGTGGCCATCCTGCTGTGGCCGGTGAGGTGGGCAGCCCCTTGGCTGGGGGAGGTGTCGAGGGCAGGTGGGTACCAGGTGGCCCTGGAGACAGGTCCAGCAGCCAGGGACCTTAGTAGGTGCTTTAATCCACGGGACAAGGGGCGGGGAGATGCTGGGGGGGGCTGGGCCTAGAAAGGGGACACAAGGACCAGGGCTCAAGGGGATGCAGGTGACAGCAGGAGCCATGCGAGGACAGTGTTCCCAGGAGGAGGGACCAGCCACCACCCACCCACACACCTCTGTCCATCTGTCCACCATGCACCGTCCTTCCTTCCTTCCTTCCTTCCACTTGTCCATCCGTCCGTCCACCTTCCACATCTCCTGTGGCCTGGAGCACCCTGGTGTGGGTCACCTGGTGTCAAGTCCACGTTCTGCACGGCTCATGTCCCCCCAGCCTCAGTGTCCCCGTCTGTCCAAGGGGCTGCACCCCCAGTCCCTGGGAGGGCAGCAGGCGGGTCACCCCGTCATCCCTGTGCCAGCCCCGGACGCGCCCTTTCTAGGTCTGAGGGGCTCCTGGACCCTCCAGGCCTGGAAAGGCCACTGTCCCCTGTTGAGGGAACAGTGAGGCGCGGGCGGCGTCCCCCCACCCGGGGAAGGCCACTGTTTACAACCAGCCCCTCACAGCCCGGGAGGAGGTGGGTGGCCGGGCAGAGCCTGGACATCACCCGGGTCGGCGCTGTGCTGGGGACCCTCGGCTCTGCCCCCGACATCTGCTGGCCTCAGGCGACTGGCTGCGAGGTGCCGTGGGGCAGGAGGACCCTTGTCCCACCTGGTCCTCGCCTGAGAAGGAGGCCGGGGGCGGGCGGGTGCCGCATGGCGGGGCGCCTGGCCCAGATGCCCGGTGCCGTCCGCTGCGTCGCTTGCTCTGAGCCTGGGCCCTGGGACTGGGTGAGCTCTCCAGCCTGGAGGGGGGTCACCAGGAGTCAGGCACAGTGACAGCAGGTGGTCTCCCTGCCGCAGTGCCCCTGTGGGTGTGGGGCGGGGGCCAGTCTCCAGAGGCCGCGCCCCAGCTCAGGGCGGCCTCATCCCAGAGTCTGGTGTCACCACCCCTGCTCTCTAGATGGGAACACTGAGGCACAGAGAGGGGAGGCGAGTGGCCCCGGTCACACAGCCAGTCAGAGGCGGAGCAGGCCTTCCAACTGCCACCTCTGGCCTGTCGATGTCCAGCGGGTCACAGGGAAAGAGCAACGCCGCCCCTCCCCCGCCCAGGCCACCAGCGTCCCTGCCCGGAGGTGGCCATTCCCACAGTCCTGTGTCCCCTCTAGGGACAGCTCACTCGGCACAGCCCGCCAGTCTGTTCCCCGCCATGGCGATGGCCACTGTCCGGCCTCCTCCCGGACTCAGTCCCGGACACTGCACCTTCCAGCCCATCCCTTCGGGGCGCCACGGGACGGACCCGCGGGAAACTGCACAGAAAACACACTCGCGCCCTCCGGCCGCCCCCAGGGTGCCCACGACGTGGTGGCCCCGTGGCCAGCGTCCAGCCCGCCCAGCCCCGAGACCTCGGGGCATCTGCCTGGGACGAAGCCAGGCCCGCGTCCCTCCTGCGCGGCCTCCTGCTGCGCCGCTCATTTCTGCGCTGAGTAGTCCCGGGGCGGGGCCGGGCGTGTTGTTTGTCCATCCGCCTGTGGACGGAGGCGTGGCTCCTGTCCACCCTTTGGTGATGACCGCGCTGCTGTGACGCGGTGGGGCTTGGCGGGAAGGCCGCCTTGCAGGCCCCGGCGGACGGACCGGCTGCTCCGTCAAAGCCGTGGCAGGAGCCTAGGGTCTCTCTGTGCCTCGGTTTCCCACCGCAGCGAGGCTGGTAGCAGGAGGGAGGCTGGAAAGTGAGGCCCGGGAGGGCCCAGCGCACAGTAAGTGCTCAGTTAAGGAGGCCTCCAGGGAGGATCAGAGCGCCCGGCCTGGCAGCCCTTCCGACAGGTCCGAGCTGGGTGCTGGGCGCTGGGCACCGGGTTGGGTTGTTATTTTAGGGGCGATGCCCACCCAGGAGGACACGGGCCTGGAAATGGGAGGGAACAGCCCGCCCACCCCCATCTGTCAAGTGAGGAGGCTACGTCGCAGGGCACTGCCCAGGCCCGGATGCCGCCGCTGGTGTTCCTGGAGGCCATCTGTCCTTGAACTCGGGATCCTCCTGCCTCAGCCTCCCGAACCACTGGGACGACAGGCCGCGGCGCCCGCCCGAGTCCCCTGGTGGAAGGAGCAGAGTGAACTGCAGGGTGCGCCCTCCTCCGTCGTCCCTTGTCCTTCCTGCCTGCAGGGAGGGACAGGGCATGGGGGAGGTGGCTTGGCAGTCCCTCCCTGGGTGCTGCTTGACCTCAGGCCCTGCAGTGCCCCAGGCTGTGCAGTCCCCCTGAGCAGGGGCCTGGCAGCTGGAGGGGCTCCGACACCTGCAGGGACACAGGCTCTGGGAAACCCCAGGCAGGACAGTGGCCCTCGGGTCCTGGGGGGCGGCGGCCCTGAGGGCCTCCCCAAGGAGGTGACATTGAGGCTGCGGCCTGAGATGGAGGAGCCACTTGGCCGGGGAGCAGGAGGAGGGCCGGCCAGGCCAGGCTGAGGCTCCAGTAGGACCAGAAGGCA